ATATACTACATTTAAGTTGTGGGGTATAAGATATTTGAGGAATAAATATCCTTATGGCTGAAAATTTATGGACAAATAAAAATTACTTCATTCGAGAGATTTTTTAATTATAAATACCTTAGATATGTTTTGAAGTTTTGGTTTGGCTTGAAAACATTGAAAGATTAAATCGAAAATAGGCGTTTGGTTGAGATATTTTAGATATTCAGATTTAGATTTAGTAGATTTATATCTAGATTTGATCATATTCATAGATTAGATTACTTAGATTTGAGTCTATCGAGTCTGTTTTGTATTGCCTATATATAGACTCCTTATTTTGTTGATTAATAAGACAATCTCATTATTTTCCCCCGAAATTTCTAACATGGTATCAGAGCCTATTTTTCTCATGCCGTAGATATAGTCTATCAATCTGCGTTTTTCCGGGTACATTCAACCTAGATTGTGCCCGGAGGTCTTGTGATTTTAAGATCATGCATTTGCAAGTTGTCTTTTTGCAAATCTGTCTCGTCTCGTCTTCGATCTGCCATCTGTCCGCTGCTTGTCTGTTGCCTGTGTGCAATCTGAAATCTTCGCTGCTTGTCTGTTGCCTGCGACCGATCTGAAACGATTTGTCATATGTCTGTTGTCTGTCTGTTGTTGCATGCGATCTGCCATCTGTCGTTGCTTGTTTGTTACCTGCGTGCGATCTGCCATCTTTCGTTGCTTATTTGTTGCCGGTAATCTGTCTATTATCTGTCATCTGTCCGTTGTTTGTCTGTTGCCTGCGTGCCATCTGATTTGTCCGATGTTTGTGATTTATCTCGTTTTCGGCTCCGGTGAAGTCATCTCATTTTCGCCTCCGGTGGAGTCCTGTGGTTTTTAGCTCCGGTGGAGTCATGTGGTTTTTGGCTCAAGTGGAGTCATCTCGTTTTCCATCTCGTTTTCGGCTCCGGTGGAGTCATCTCGTTTTCGACGGCTCCGGTGGAGTCATGTCGTTTTTTGCTCCGGTGGAGTCATCTCGTTTTCGGCTCCGGTGGAGAGTCATCTAGTTTTCGGCGGCTCCGGTGGAGTCATGTCGTTTTCGACTACGGTGGAGAGTCATCTTATTTTAGGCTCAAGTTGAGAGTCATCTCGTTTTTTGCTCTAGTGGAGTAATGTCGTTTTCGCCTCTGGTGGAGAGTCATCTCATTTTAGGCTCCGGTGGAGTCATCTCGTTTTTTGCTCCAGTGGAGTCATGTCATATTTTGCCATCTCATTTTCGCCTCCGGTGAAGTTATGTGGTTTTCGGCTCCAGTGGAGTCATATCATTTTCGGCTCCGGTGGAATCATATCGTTTTAGGCTCCGGATGTCGTTTTCGGCTTCAGTGGAGTCATATCGTTTTTGGCTTTGGTTGAGTCATGTCGTTTTTTGCTCCGGTGGATAGTCATCTCGTTTTCAACTCCGGTGGAAAGTCATCTCGTTTTTTGCTCCGGTGGATGGAGAGTCAACTGCTAATTTTATTTATGCTTTCTTTTTGCGTTTATATTCAAATTTCTCATCAAACTCAAGTTGGTTTATGTTATACCACTTGAGTTTGATGAGGGATGTTGAGATATTTTAGATATTCAAATTTAGATTTAGTAGATTTATATCTAGATTTGATCATATTCATAGATTAGATTACTTAGATTTGAGTCTATCGAGTCTGTTTTGTATTGCCTATATATAGGCTCCTTATTTTATTGATCAATAAGACAATCTCATTATTTTCCCCCAAAATTTCTAAGAGATTACAAGTAAACTATTAATTTGCTGGGGAAAATTCTCTCGCAAACAAGTCTTTCCTTGTAAACGAAATTTGCTAGGAAATTAGTGAGGGATTTCAATCTTTTGCAAATAGTTAGTTAAAAAAACATGTGGTCCATTCTTTTTTCGTAATAGATGTGTTATAAATAAGATTTGAATTAATATGATATTTAAAACATAAAATATATATTTTGTGTAATATTTTAAAATAAATAATAAATAATAAAATATTTTCAGAGAACTAATTTTTTATGAATGATACAAAAATATGTTTGAAGAGATATTTTGATTTTTATATACTAATCATTGAGTGTATATGTATTGCCATTTACAATTCGACAATACAAGTGTATAAGAAAACTAGGGTGAGTTATTTTGGTGCTTCCTGTGTCACTTATATAATATTGGGTATTTTAGAAAATTTTAGTTGTTATTTATAGGTGTATACAATCTCAGTTATATTCCCTCAACTTTGATATTATTATGATTGTGTATATAGTGTGAAATTTTCGTTCTATTCAGAATGTATAAACAAATTTGGATCGTAATTTGCGTGTTATACTATTTGGTTGCAGTGTATTTTGATGTTATAGGGTGCAGATTGCAGTGTACCATCGATAAAATCAGCTATGTCTACCAATTCTTCAAAGCCGAAACATGGATGGAATATCAAGAAGGGTGACTTAAGATACAAGAATCCTTTATGTAAGTGTGGAAGATATGCTGCTATAAAAGTCGTCGGATCTACAAAAGAAACCGAAGGTAAATTATTTTGCAATTGTAAGATTGGCCAGTGCGATTTCTTTTGCTGGTTAGAACCTTTGAATCCTCCGTCAAGGAGTAAGGGGAACATCAGAAATCTGAGTGACGAAACGGTGAACTTGGCAGTGAACGACAAAAAATCGATAAAATCCTGCCCTAAGTTAAAGTTAGAGTGGAATATTGTGAGAATGTTGAAGTCGAAGTGGAATCTGGTGGATTAGGGATATAACGGTCCAAACGTGTAAATTATTAACGGTGTTAAGAGTTAATCTAATTGTAGAGCGTATGCAACCAAAATTAAATACAGTGTGTTTTAAGATGATTTTATTAATAGAGGGGATATTACGCTAATTTAATAAAACACAGGTAGGTAATATATAATTTACCCAATTAATTTAGTAAAAATTTTAGGGAAAATTGCAAAAAAATGTCTTGTATGTAGGTCCAATAATCATTTTCGAACATTTGTTTTCTACTTTCACAATGTAGGACATTATGTGTACTCCGGCCATTATTTTTGTCCTCCGTTGCAAGAAAAATGCACGTGACCTTCACGTCTGCCTTCGTGGCATGGCCGGCGCATACGTGGACGTCATTGTTGCTATGTTGTTGTTTGCGTGGTCGTCGGACTGCTGATGTGGAATTTTTTATTTTTTTTTTTACTTTTGCAATTTAGGACATTATATGTATTTCAAATATTATTTTTGCCTTCTTGTTCCGAAAAAATAATTTGAACTCATTACCACATATATAACATGTTAAGAATTTTACTATCAAGTTATGTCTTAATTTTTGTAATTATTTCATTAGTTAATATATATATAAATATTTTAAATATTATATACTCTTTCAGTCTGCTTCTAAGGGTCACATTTAATTCTTGCATCATTCTACTTAATGTTAAAAATATTCTTATATTTGTATAATATTTTTGTACAAATGTCATTCTATTAGTATTATAAGACACTAATGGAAGTAGTTTTGCAATTTTTTCTTTATTTGTACTATATTTTGATATACTAATTAATATTCAAAAATTAAGACGCAAAAAGTAAATGAGACTCTTAGAGCCGGACGTAGTATTAATTTTGATAAATTGGGCCGGGCCAGGCATAGCCCGAAAAAATTCGAGACTATTTTTTAAGGCCAAAGTACGATTTTTTACGTGCCGAGCCTATTTTTGCCACCCCTGTTCACAACGGTAAAATAGTATTGAAAAAATTAAATAATAAGTTAAATAGAAAATTGGTCTATCATTTACTCTTCCTTTTGTCATAATAGTCTTGAGCAAAGATAATTTAATTGTTAATACTAAAAATTTTGCTCATAAATAATATCGTAGTTTATATTGCGGATGGTTGAATTTATGGAACAAATTTTTGTAAACAAAATATGATTTAATTAGCGAAAGTAATAATCAAATAAACTCAATTTAATACAATAAATTGAATCGAAATTGAAATTATTCGGATTGAAAATAAAGTTCAAACACATATTCTGTAAATTAAAATATGGAATCAAAACAAACAGTTATTAAAATTAACAACATAGCAAATTTTTTCTCCCAAAAATATTAAATTTGAAACTTTTTTTTTCTATATTATATTAAAAATCAATTTTACATTCAAAACATCACATCACACTTATTTATATCACATAATATAACTATTTCAATTCAAAATTTTTACTATTTAAATCCTAAACACAAAATCCAAAGCATCAAAATAATACACCAAATATCCAACTTCAAAGCATAAACAATGACAACAAACAAAATCAACTCCCGATTCAAGTAGCAACACAACTTAACTCCAAATCTATCTCCTCCAGCAACAATTGCGTTTCTTCGATGGACCAGCAACGCATCGCATAATTGACATCGATTTCAAGCAGCTTCAGGCAGCAACTTCTTCCCTAAACAGGTGTTGGAAATAAGGAGTTGTGGAAGAGAATTATAGTAGAGAGAAATTTTATTTGAAAGAAACGTTGATGCTTTCTTGTTTTTTAAATGCGCATACTACATGGGTTTTTATAGGAAAATTATTTGTAGTAGGTAAAATTTATTAATACATTGAGAATAGTAAAGTCTGTTTTTGAATCTTCACTGCCTTGAGAATTGGTGCGTTGGAATCCTCGTTCTTTTTATTTTGGGATTGCAAATTATATTTAACACCCCCTCTTAATTTGTAATTCCAATATCTTTCTTGAATTGTTGAAACTTCTCTTCGGTGACTGCCTTCGTGAGTGCATCGGCAAGCTGTGTTGTGGTCCTAACATGCTCCAAAAAGATTTCTTTTTCTTGCACCTTTGTACGGATAATGTGATGTCTGAGCTCGATGTGTTTTGTTCTTCCGTGAAACACTGGATTCTTTGTCATGGAAATTGCTGCCATATTATCACAGAAAATTGGAGTGGGTCCATCAACTCTCTGTAACAAATCCTTCAAAATTCTTCTAAGCCAAACTCCTTATCGAACTGCTTCATTCGCAGCAATGTACTCTGCCTCCGCGGATGACATAGCAACTGAATTTTGCTTCTTCGAACTCCACGAAATTGCTTTTGATCCCAAGCAAAAAATGTATCCCGATGTGCTCTTCCTGTCATCTTGGCTTCCAGCCCAATCATTGTCTGTGAATCCAATCAACTCATTGTTCTCGTCCCTCAAATATTTGATGCCAAGACATTTTGTCCCTTGAATGTAACGGAGAATCCTTTTTGCAGCCGCAAAATGTGACTTGCTTGGATTGCTCATAAACCTGGAAATCAAACTTACAGCATGTAAGATATCCGGTCTTGTGTGTGTTAGGTAGATGAGCCATCCGACAAGGCTCCGATAAATGCTTGGGTCGAATTTTTCTGCACCACATCATCAAACTTTAATCTTTCGTTCAGGGCCATGGGTGTTGCAGCAAGCTTGCAATTCTCCATTCTAAACTTCTTTAGCATGTCTGCTGCATACTTTTCATGGAAAATGAAGATATTTCCATTTTCTTGCTTTACTTGAATGCCGAGAAAATACTTCATCACTCCGAGATCGGTCATTTCAAACTTTCTCATCATCGCTTCTTTGAACAATTTCACATTGCATCATTTATTCCTGCATAAATTAGATCATCGACATATAGGCAAACCATCAAAAAATCATTCTCACTTTTCTACACATAGAGAGATGGTTCGGAAGGACTTTTCAGAAATCCATTTTGCCGGAAATATGCATCAATCGTGTTGTTCCAGCATCTTGGCGCTTGCTTCAGCCTGTACAATGCTTTGTGCAGCATGTACACTTTTTCTTCTTTGCCTTTCGCTTCAAATCCTTGTGGTTGTTTGACGTACACCTCCTATTCTAGTTCACCATTCAGAAATGCAATTTACGTCAAGTTGGAACACTTTCAACTCCAATTGTGCTGCAATTGCAAGAATAGCTCTTATTGTTTCCATTCTAGCTACAGGTGCAAATGTCTCCGTAAAATCCACTCCAGGCTGTTGTGTGTATCCCTTTGCCACAAGTCGTTCTTTGTACTTTTGTATAGTTCCATCTTCATTGAACTTGGTCCTGAAGACCCATTTTAATCCAATCGTTTCTTTTCCTTCGGGAATATCCACCAACTTCCATGTTTGATTCTTTTCGATACTTTTCATTTCATCGTCCATCGCATTTTTCCACGCTTCGTCTTTCATAGCTTCTTCAAAAGATTGTGGCTCGCATGCAAATAATGCAACATTAGATGAGTTATAAATTTCATCTAAAGAACGATACATGTGTGGCTCTTCATCCGAATCCGATTCTTCTTGCTGAGAGTTACTGCTTGATGAATCAATAATTCTTTGGGATGATTGTTGTGGAAGAAGTGGGTCGAGCTCAATGAAGGTTTCTTTTGTTTCTTCTTTATCCCATTTCCATGTTGCGGTTTCATCAAAGGCAACATCTTTTGATAGTACCAATTCCTTCGTTGATGGATTGAATAAGCGATATCCCTTTGATTCATCGCTATATCCGATGAAGATAAGTTTTTCTCCTTTTCCATCGAACTTCTCCCTATTCTTGGATGGAATTAAAGCATAGCCAATGCAGCCAAAAACTTTCAATTGATTTACAATGGGTTTCTTCTTGTGCCATGATTCGTACGGTGTCTTGTCTCGCACAGCTTTCATTGGAGATAAATTCAGAATATGCACAGCGGTGTGAACAGCTTCTGCCCAGAATTCATTCGGGAGATTTTTTCCAATAAGCATGCTTCGCGCCATTTCTTCAATCGTCCGGTTTTTCCTTTCTGCTACACCATTTTGTTGTGGTGTGTGTCGGACTGTGAGCTGCCTTTTTATCCCTTCTTTTCTACAAAACTTCATGAATGGCTTGAAGATGAATTCTCCTCCTCTATCAGTTCTTAAGCACTTTATTGCAAAGGCACTTTGTTTTTCAGAAAGTGCTTTAAAGTGCATAAACCTTTGAAATGCTTCCGACTTATGCTCTAGGATGTACACCCACATCATTCTCGTAAAGTCATCAACAAATAAAAGAAAGTATTTTTTATTTCCCAATGACGGTGTTCTTGTTAGACCACAAATATCTGCGTGCACAATTTCAAGAGGTGTACATGCTCTCCCTGCAACTTTCGGAAATGGGAGCCGATGCATTTTTCCATATATACATCCTTCACAAAATTTTTCATAATTTCTGATTTTTGGAAGACCGACACCCATGTCCTTCTGCTGTAGAAGCTACAAGCCTTTGAAATTGAGATGTCCATATCTTAAATGCCAAAGGTAAGTGTCATCCTCGGCAGCAGTCTTCAATGCGACATGCGACTCCATTTTGAGAGGAAAAAGATTGTTAGCCGTCATCTCCACCTGTACTACACAGTCTCCATAATTTTTGTCAAAAATTTCACACCTTCCATTGTCAAAAATCAGCTTGTATCCATTTCTCATCATTTGCCCAACACTCAAAAAATTTTGTGATATATTAGGCGAGAAATTTACATCATGGATGAATTTGTCACTTTTTTTGGTTTGAACGGCAACAATTCATTTTCCTTCAATCATCACCTTCTTTCCATCACCGAGCTCAACATGTGAGGAGTAGCTTCTATCAATTTCATGGAAATCTTCTTGATTTCCAGATAGATGGTTGCTGCAGCCACAGTCCAAGTACCACATCGTGGCTGATTTTGTACTATCTGATCGGGAGATAAATAGCTTACATGATTCATCCCCTGCTGAGAAGTGTGTCTCTTTCTGTTCTTCTCCTTGTTTGTTCTTTTGTTTATGCCAACAATCTTTGTCGGCATGGTTTGGCACCTTGCATATCTTGCATCTCCACCAACAATTTCTTGATTCGTGGCCTTTTCTATTGCACACGTAACACACTCTACATCTGATTTTTCAAATTCACCTTTCCCTCTACCCCTGTTCTGAAATTTTTGGCCTCGCCCTCTCCCGGGTGCTTGACCGAAGGAAGATTCCCCCTCTTCCTTGTTGCAATGAATTCTTGGAAATGTGTGTCTTTACTTGAAAAGTCTGTTCTAATGGTTGGTTGTTGTAGTTGCTCATTCTTTGCTCATAGGCTTCCAAGGTTCCCATAAGTTCGAATTGAGTGAGTGTCCTGAGATTTTTCGTCTCAATGATGACAGCAATGATGTGCTCAAATTTCTGCGGCAAACTTCTCAGAATCTTCTGCACTACTTTTTTTTCTGGAACTTCCTCTCCGCAACTTTTAATTTGATTGATTATTTCACCGACTCTTGAGAAGAAATCGCGTACCATTTCATTTTCCTTCATAGACAATGTTTCAAATTGTCTCCACAAAGATTGCAGCTTTATGGTAATCACCTTTTCTGATCCTTGAAACTCTGTTTTTAGAATCTCCCAAGCTTCTTTCGCTTTCTTAATGCCAAAAATTCTGGGGTAGATAGGTTTACCAACAGCTTGCTGGATAAACCGCAACGCTGTCGCATTTCTCTTCACATTTTCCTTATAATTTCTCTGCATTTCTTCTGTCCAATCTTCGGTTGTTGCATCTGGTGGTTCTTCATAACCATCTTCCACAACATCCCACAAATCTTGTGAGATGAAAATGGTCTCCATCTGCGAACTCCAGTAATCGAAATGTTCTCCATTGAAAATGGGAATTTGGGCACCGGTATAATTGAAAATTAAATTTGATGATGAAGCCATCTTCTCTTTTTTTTAATAATAAAACCTAATGCTCTGATACCAAATTTGTTGGAAATAAGGAGTTGTTGAAGAGAATTATAGTAGAGGGAAATTTTATTTGAAAGAAACGTTGATGCTTTCTTGTTTTTCAAATGCGCATACTACATGGGTATTTATAGGAAAATTATTTGTAGTAGGTAAAATTTATTAACACATTGAGAATAGTAAAAGTCTGTTCTTGAATCTTCACTGCCTTGAGAATTGGTGCGTTGGAATCCTTATTCTTTTTATTTTGGTATTGCAAATTATATTTGACAACAGGTTGGAAGGACTCAAACAACCTCCGATGGACTTTAATTTTCCCAATTCTTTCTCCGATCTTCCTCCTTGTTCTTTACCAAAGAAGGGACCTCTAATTAAGGTACATGGTCATCACGGCGCAAGATAGAAACCGGTGCTTCACTCTAAACCTCGACACCCACCGAAAATAGGCCATCGAAAACTCTCTTTATTTCACTCGAAGGTTATCGGAACTCACAAGAATTCTTCCAATGATTTCCCTATATCTCATTCTCTCGGATGCATGGAAACACCCCAAACTCATGTAATAAATCTTCGTGTATATAAAAATATACTTGGGATTTGATTAAATAACAACCTAAATAGGTGAAGTATATTGATTTTTGTAGCTGTTGGAGGTCTAACCCAACCGATCCTTCGAAGATATAATGTGTTTGGCCCATGCTTAGCCCGGCCCGTCGGACTTAACCCAAATCCTTCACCCAAATCATTTACCCTAAGTCCTAACCTTTGGCCCATTAGTTGGCTTGTTAGGTAGTTAGGGTGATATAAGTGTGATTTAGTTTCGTGATATATTGAGGTGGTTTTCGGAAGTCTAATTAGAAAAAACGATTAGAGGAGTTAATTGGTTAGTAATAGTTGTTCTTAGGCCGAGCTCGTGCCTGCATTTCCTTTCTACAATCTCAATCTTCATCCTAAAGTTGTGTCAAGGGCTGAGTCAAACTTTCTTTTACATTTATGTGTTATTTTTGGTTCAATTCAATACAAAAGTTTTAAATTTAATTGTGTTGTTTCTTGTAGAAATAAAGTTTATTATACTAAAACATAACAAATAATAATTATTTAATTGCTATATAAATTATAACATGAATTTCTCTTATAAATTTAAAATAAATTCTATATATATAAAATTTATATCAACATATGTATATATATCTGCAAATATATGTACAATGACCCTTATTTATGGTGGGTGCTGAGTGAGCGCGCTTTTTGCCCGGTTAGGGCCGTCCCTACACAAAGGCACTGTAAATTGAAACAGAAGCCATTCTATAATTAACCTATACTAACACTTTAAAGCCCAAAAGAACAAATCTGTTGGACTCCCGTTTGCGGATATATGAATAACGGTAAGTTTTCCTACCGGTTTGAGTTTTTAGGTGAGACAATCATTCAGCATCCGACAAAATTTAAAAATGGAAATTAAACATGCTATAGTATAGAATATATATATATATATAACATATATCATTCTTCAAGGCTCATCAGGCACTCGACTTTCAACCTGTTGTGTGTAATTGGTGATCGTATCGACTTGTGAGCTCGCGTAGATGGACAACGAGAAGTCGGATGACGCATCCGAAACCTCAACTGATTGGTTAAGTATGCTGTTGTGATCAAGATGTTGCACTGAAACCGTGTCGTCGTTCATTCCTCTTCGAATTCCTTGGAGATCAGCAGAAACTTCCTTCATAGTTGGCCTTTTCTTGCCATTCAAGTGCAAACATTTATTTGCAAGTTCAGCAATAGCCACAATGTCTTGTACCTTACCCTCTTTGAGGACTCTTGAATCAAGGATGTCGAACAATTGATTCTCCTCCATTGTATGCAAGAAATGTGTGGCCAAACTCTTTCCCGATTCTGCTCTAACTGAGGTCACTGCTTTCTCCCCAGTCAAGAGCTCCACCACAACCACGCCAAAACTGTATACGTCGCTCTTTTCTGTGAACTGGCTCGATTGGAAATACTCTGGATCGAGATAACCGAATGTGCCCAACACTCTTGTAGTGACGTGTGTTTGATCAATAGAGACCGACCTCGATGCCCCGAAATCTGAAACCTTGGCTCGGTACTTTTCATCCAGGAGTATATTCGTCGACTTGATATCGCGATGATAGATAGGTGCAGATGAAGCAGAGTGCAAGTATGCAAGTGCTCCGGCCACTTCAGATGCAATTCGCATACGCATTTCCCATGTCAATGGGAGGTCGTCGCTCCGCTCATGGATATGGTGGAAGAGTGTGCCGTTTGGGATGAACTCGTAGACGAGAAGAGGTACTTCTGTCTCGAGACAGCAGCCAAGCAGCCGGACCACATTCCTGTGGTTTATTTGGGAGAGAATAACAACCTCATTGATGAACACCTCAACATCACCTTCATCTACCTTTTTCGACTTCTTCACAGCCACAATCTTTCCGTCAGTCAGCATTCCTTTGTAGACGGTTCCTTGACCACCACGGCCAAGTATACGATTTTCACTGTAATGATCTGTGGCGCGTGTGAGCTCCTTTGAAGTGAACAACTTGGTTCTCTCGAGCCCATTCTCAGTCGAAGCCAAGTGCTGCTCCAATAACAACCCGCCATTGCGCTTATAGAACATGTATCTACGGATGCCTTTTACTGCCTCACTCACAAATTTGCCACACCTCCACACCCCATAGAGCAAACAGAGTGCTCCAAAAACGCTACCAATCACAGTGAATGTGATCGTGATTCGATTTCTGAAGTTAGCTGGACTAAGATTATGATGATCCCACTCCCTGTAGCATTTGTAACTCCCATTAGTGTTGACACAAGTTCCCCCTCCACAGTACCTCTCCTTTAGTGTTGCATTGCTACATTCGTCGATATCAGTGCATCCCCAAGGTAAATATGGGTTACCTTCATACCCATTCTTGCAGTAGCAATATCTAGATAAGGAAGGAACAAGGTATTCACCAACATCGACAGAATCATTGCAAATAGTTCCAGAGATTGCACCAACTGGATCATAATATTCCCACTCAATTACTAGAGGTGCAAAGCCTATATCAGTGTCGAATAAATTCAATAAAGGATCATTACGCAAGAACCTCTTTTTTTGTACAGGGAAGGCATACCCACAGAAAGTACCATCGACAGTTTGAGTGCTTTGGTATGCAAACTGAAGCTCCTGGAGTCGCGCAGGAATTGGTATGTCGCAGCAGTTGTCACCATTGCAAGTGGTATCTGCTGAATTTCTTCGACAACGGGTAATGCATCCTCTAATGGTATTGTTGGGTCTGGTGAGCAGTAGCCAGACTGTTTTTCTGCAGCCCAGATTAATCAATGCATTATACCTCGATGAGATGTAAAAAGGACTTCCCAAAAGTGATATTGATTGAGCGTGTTGTGTTGAGTCTTTGTAAGAACAATTTAGCGGCGACACACGTTGGTTTACAATGATTGTGCCGTTAAGGGAGATCTGCAGCACTTCCAGATTATCAATACTGCTCAAGATTGGCTTTGGAGGATGGGTGGAGTTATTACACACCATTGTGAAGGATGAATTTGCACTGCATCTCGAACCAATTCCGAAAGGATAAGGAATGGTGACGTTCCCGCATTTTTGTTGGCAGCCATGTTTGGACAAAGAGATTGATTGAGTCATGGCGGGAGACAGACACAAAATGTAAAAAACTCCATGTGTGAAGGGCAGCCTCCTCATCTCCATCATTTCTTGGCAAATTTCTTCGAAAAAATTAGACTGCAGAAACAGTGGAAGCCATTGAAAAACTACAAATCAAAGAGATTATAAACTGATAACAAAAAAACAGTCTGCATGCATATTAGAAATAATTAATCAATGATAGACTTGGTCATCACACTGAATGTTGAAGTTGAAATAATGACACTAGTTTGGTGCTTCCTATGTCACTTTCATCATATTTTTCCACATTTTGCAAGAATTTAAGGTGTGAAGGAAGTCATAGGCCCGTTTGGTTCGCATAAAGTTTTTTTAAGAAATTGGAATTTCTCAGAGGAATTGAAATTAATATCTAAATTATGTTTGGTTGATTGGATATTTGGTAATCAAACACTCCTTATCTCATGCAGAAATGTACTCGTTTTTCTTTTAATTGTCTGTTATTTAAAAAAATGTTCCCTTTTGGCGAGGGATATATATTGTGTGAATTTGAAATCAATATGCCAAATAGTAGAATTGTCCTCTTTGCGAATGCTTTAGGATTTTAACTCATGGCTACAGTTACAAATCCACTCTTACACCCCAATATCTTCTATTACTGGACAAAATATATTATTATCTTAGATAAGGTTTATAGTTACATAAGTATGCTACTGAAAATATTAGATATTTTAATTTTAAGAAAATAAAATTTTCGGATGAACTAGAATTTTTGAGGAATTGAAATTTGCTGAGTAATATGAATATATGTTTTTTTTTTTAGGATAATGGTAATCTTTATCAACCCATTATTTTAATTCCATATCACTGTTAATGGAATATATATATATGTTCCCTCTCTATTGATAGAAAATTGAGCTTATTTTTAGGAATTTAGGTTCTTTAAATAAAAATTTTGGAAGTTCAAGAGTTTTTAAATTTTTTCGAAATAGTAATATTTACGTATTTAATGTCATATATTGTGAGAAAAAAAAAATCATATTGCTAAGTAATTTGAAGTCATTCTAATTTTAAAATCATATTATTGGATATAAAAAGAACCGATTTGAAATTCTAATAAGTTATAAAGAATTGGGGCTCCAATCCAACCCCATTTTTTTACCCCATTTTGGAAGATAGCTATATTGTTATTTTATTTTTGGAGTAACACTGTAGCTCCACTGGAGTTGAATATTTTCTGTATTTTTTTTAGTGTGTTGTGTAATTTTCTATTTTTAAAAGTTAAACTCTTTCCGTCCCGTCCACCTTTAAAGAATATTTATCTTTTGCATCATTATATTTAATATTAAAAATATATTTATATTTGTATAATTTTTTTTACAAATTTTCTCCTATTAGTATTACAACATGTATTTTTACATGAGATTCTTAGAGATAGGCATATTACTGTAGATAGGAGAATTTGAGAATTTAGATAAAATATAATTAAAATTACAAATTATGTGGGACGACGGAGGGGAGGGACTTGAACCCTCAACCTCAGCCTTGGCAAGGCTAGTAAATTGCCCAATGTTTCCAAATTAGTACAACTTTGTCTTTTACGAATGAAAATCACAATACATAAAACAAATGAAACCTTCAATCAAGGGAACTTCACCTTCTTGGTGGACAACCTACGACTTTCATAGGTCCTTGGTTTGACCTCCTAATGAGAATTGAGGTCCTTGCGCGCGGCCGTCTCATCCCCAAAACTTGTTTATTTTATAAAAAGTAATAGTATAATTTATAAATAAAATATGAATTTTATATTTTTTTTAGTGATAATGTAAAAACAAATTAAATTTATGGTGTAATTTATAAATATAAAAAGTTATATAAAATGATATAAAAGAGGAATATAGAGATAATATATTTTTTAGAATAAAAATGAAAGATTGTGTTTGGAGTAAAATTACTTAAAATCAACTACATGTAGCTGTTGTAAAAATAAAATAATAGGTTGGAGATGACCTAATCAATTTGTGAATTTTTTTTTTGGGATGAATTTATTATTATTTTTTTTCCAACTTATATTTGTTTTTTCATATAATCAAAAAAATAAATTAAAACACGTGAGAAGACCAATCAAGCCTACATGACGTGTGGACTAAAGTATTCAATTAAATTTTATTTGATTTCTTTTATTTTAAAACGTCCGGTAGATGGGTGTGTTTGTTTGGGGCTTTAGATTTTGAGTTGAGATTTGAATAGTAAAAAATTTGAATTTGAATAGTTGTATGATGTGATATAAATAGGTGTTGATGTGATGTTTTGAATGTAAAATTGATTTTTAATATAATATAAAAAATGAAAAATAAGTGTTTGATTTGATATTTTTAGAGGGAAATTTTTGGATAAATAGTAAGATTTAATCTAAATCTTACAAACGAAAAAATTCATAAATTTCATTAATAGTTTGATTTACTTTTTTATTAATTTATATAATATTTTATAGATTTGATAGGAATGTAACATATAAATTTATATGAGTTATCATGGACTCCAATGTTGTAACTATCTATACAAATAGGTATATGCATAAAGATATCCAAAATATTTAGAAACAATACAAAAATATATGTGTAAATAAAAATAAGGAATCCTTAATTAATTTTTATTTAGATAACATATTAAATAATATATAAAATTGTGTAATTTATTATTTTAATTTTACAAATAAATAATATAACTTATTAAATTTTAAATATTGTATTATAAAAAATTATACCTTTTAATAATAACTTTAATAAATTTATTTTTATCAATGTATATATGTTATTATCAAATAATTATATTTAATTTAATAAAATATAATGTATAAAATATACATTAATTAGAAATAAATTAAAATATTGCATTAATAATAAAATAAGCATAAAATTTTATATAACTAAATAATATATTAAAATTATTCGATTAAATAAAATATTACAAAGTATATTATATAAATTTGTATTAAATGAAATAATAAATTTATAAATGTGGAATAAAAAAAATTGGAGAATGTGAAAGTTCTATTCTATAATGTAAGTAAAAAATTAGGTAAATTATCGATGAGTTCTTAGTATGATGTGACGGAGAAAGAAAACTCAAAGAGCATAAAAATCATTGCATATGTTCTTAAGGGCATCTGCATCGGGGGTTCTCTGTAGCAGAAAAAGTCCCACGTCATCTTTTATATTAAAAATAATAATAATAATTTCAAAATAAGGAAGTAAAGCACCGGAACTTTGTCCAGCACTTCTGACACCAAGTTGTTGTGGTTAATGTTGTTGTTGTTAATTGGGACACATGACAAAAAGAAAATTAATATATTCTTTATTATTTTTTATGTATTTTATTTAAATTATATTATTAACATTTTATTATTTTATATTATATAAAATTTAAATTTTTTAAAAAAATATACCAATATTGAATATATATATATATTTTTAATCAAATCTAATTAATTATTATGATAAATAAATATTAATATATTTTTATTTAATAAATTTTAATTAAATATACTTATTTAATAATAATATTAAAAATAATTTAATTTTGTAATGACCTTATAATTTATCCAATAAATTACAAAAATAATTAAAAATATATATAATTACTAAATATGTAATTGAATCTTAGAAAAAAATTAAAAACAAGAACATAATAATAATAATAGTAAAATAATAATAATCATATTAATAAATATTTGTTATAATTTATAAATTAAATTATTAAATAAATATTTATAAATATGTATATTAGATAAACTTATTATTATTCAAATTATTTTAAAAATTGATAACTTAATAATATAGATAAAAAGGAAATTAAAATTTGTATAAAGAATTTCTTTGATGTGAATATAAAAAATTTCTACATGAGTTGGCAGAGAAAGAATATGACGTGGAAGAGAGGAGAGTGATAAAAGAAGCTCATAAAGAGTTTTATGGATGCGGATGGTCTAAGCAGTCTCCGTCCGCTATCTTGCAAGATCCTTTTGATTGGCCTAAATTATAATCTATATGTCTATACATATATATATATATATTTGACGTCAATATTTAATTACTACATTGTTTGATTTTTGCGATTTTTTTTTTTGTTTTACGATTTTTTTATTGCATATATTAGTGAGGTATTTATAGTTTTGAAGTTACACATAAGTTTTAATTTTTTGATAATTCTTTTTGTTTTACTATTTTTATATGATAGTTGGGGATTCATGGCTATTTGGATTGGCTTAAAAAATAAATATAAGTGAAAAGTAAAATCAAAAGCCAAAAACAAGCATTTTATATTTGAATATATAATTATAAAAGCACTTTTTTTTTTTTGTAAAAAACTGTTTCGACATAATAAAGTTGAACGTACTTTTAAACGGTTTAAATTACCATATAGGACATAGTAAAGTATGTATATTTTATTATACTTTTATAATTTATTTTAGTATGTTATAAATTATAGGAGTATTTAAAAATTTTAAATTATCTAAAATAATTAAAAATATATTTAGTAAATTTTATGTATAAATTATATTTTTATTTTTATTTTTATAAAAATGAAAATTAAAAATATAATTAAATATAAAAAAAAATTTACTCTAAAAATTATTTTAACTTTATAAATTATATTTAAAAATATTAAATTATCCACTATATAATTAAAATTTATATTTTTAAATTTTGGTATCTTCAATTATAAATTTTCTCAATTAATTAAAATAAAATATATAAATGAATAGTTAAAATACAATTCTAATTAAATTTTATATAAATGAATTATTTTTATCTTTATTTTATGTTATTTATTTAATTAGTTATTATTATTATTAAGGTTAAATTTGTAATTTAAATAGTAAAATTGTACCTGAAAGTCTTGGATTAACTTTTGGCATGAGCTTTTGATTTCTATTTCTTAAAAAAACACTTCTTATTTGCATTGATTTCTGTCTAAAAGTACTACCTCGTTTGGATTGAATTTTGGCAGATTCTTTTAATTTCTATTTTTTAAAAAAACACTTTGTACTTGTTTGTATAAGCATATTGAGGATAACTTTGACACTGAATTTTTTTTTTTTTTTTTTTTTTTTGTTTTGTTTCCATAAGCATATTGAGGATAACTTCTTAAATAAATTTAAGCATTTTTAGTTAAAATTATTGGTTTATCCTTAATAATAATAATAATAATAATAATAATGTAAAAATAATTAATTTATGTATTATATTCTAATAAAAAATAAAAAATATAATTATATTACATTTTTTATAATTTATATGTTATAATTGAATTAAAATTTAAATTTGTAATTGAAAATACCAAATTTAAACAACAATATCTAAATTTTTTAATTGTACCAGAAGTGTTAAATATAATTTATAAAATTTTAAAATAATTAACCTAGTTTTAAAAATATATTTTTTTATACATTAATTTAAAATATTTAAATATAATTAATAAAATTTAAAATAAATTATAAAAGTTTTGTTGAAAAATACAACTATATTAACAGCATGTTTTGAGTAATTTAACCGGTTTAAAAGAACTTTCAACTCTAGTACATTTAAATAATTTTTTTTATCAAAAACTGTTTTTATAATGATTAATCCAAACACAAAATCGAATTGCTTATAAGCAAAAAGATACTTTTCAGAAGTCAATTCAAACGGGATCTTAGTATTTTGCAATTAATACTAATTTTTACGATTCTTTTTAAATAGTTTTAGTGGGTATATACAGTTTTTAGATTTATACACTTTATTTATAATTTATTTTTTATTCCGTTTGGAAACTCATGTTCTTATTGTTTTTATATATTCTTCACAAATTGATCGTTCTTGTTGCTCATATTTTCTTGAATTTTTCTCTAATATTTGAAATCTTTTACTTCATCCGTCTCGCAAGAAGGTTGTCATTTGATTTTACGTCATTATACTTAACATTAAAAATATCCTTATGTTTAAATAATTTACTCGACAAATATTATTGTATTTGTATTATAAGTACTAATAAACGTATTTTTACATTTTTCTCTAAATTTCTGTTGCATATTAATATAATAATTAATATTCAAATATCAACACGCAAAAAGACCATGACAACCTTCTTGCGAGACGGAACGTGTATTTATTTTTTCTACTATTCTTTTGCAATATACTTTATTTATACATGATTTTTAATTCAAGTGCAATACATCTAAAGGTGGAATCTGTTACTAGTTGAGGATATTGTTGCCGCTCTGCTGAAAGATGTTTATCGAAAATTATATTGCTAATTTAATTTATCTTTAAATCTTTTTTTTTCATTTTTTTGTTTTTTTGTTTTGTGTTTGAGCTTATTCAATCTATTTATGTTATTTAATACTTTTGTATTTCCAAGATTAATTGACAGTTCTCGGAGAAAATTACAATTTGGATGTCCAAATATGTTCATCGAAACAGTCAATTATAGCATATGCTATTGAAGATAACATCAATCATCAAATTCGATAAATTATTATTTTTTTATTTTATATTATTTTGATTTCAAAAAAATACACAGCAAAAGAAGGAGAACGTAAGTGTAAGTTTACTATTTTGATTTTTTTTATAAGTTTAAAAAATTATTTAATTAGTTCTCTAGCATTTTTTACTTTTTAATTTGATTTGTATTTATTTGATGTTAATTCTGAAGTACTCAAATTTCATATTGCGCTATTATATAAATTTTTTTCTCCAAATTTATTGCATCTCAATATTTTAAAAAAGATATTCAATTACAATATTAAATAAATAAGAAATCGATCTAGTCTTAATTTCTACTTTTACTACATATAAATAATTTGGCGCAGAATTTGATGTTATTTTATATTTGTTATATGTTTTTGCTTTTCAAATTTGTTTGATCCGATCATTTTGGAGAAGATATTCAAGTATAATGAGTATTAAAATATAGAAAATCTGTAGACTTTTTTTATATCTTTTATTGTATATTAATAATTTGATATAATTTTATTTTACTTTTTATTTTATAAATATTGTGAATTTTGTTTGTTTTGCATGTAATTTTTTTTTTACTGGAAATTATTTTTTATTTTTTTATATTTTGATATTTTTGTATAAGTTGCGATATAAATAATTTAATATGATATTTTTTATATTTTGCAAGATCTAAGTTATTTTACATGTAATATTTTTTATTGATAAATTTAATATTTATAATGATTAATATCTAAATTATTCAAATCTCATTTTCTTTTTTTATATGATTTTTTTCCTGAATTTTTGGATCTTATCGTTGTTTTGAAAGATATTCAATCCGATAATATTAAAATATATTATTTTATTGATTTATACTACTTCCGTTGGGCTACAAGTATTTTATTTATTTTTTGTATGTTGATTTTTAAATATTAATTTGTATATCAAAATATAATACAAATTAAGAAAAAAATTACAAAAATACGTGTCTTGTAATACTAATAGAATGATATTTGTAAAAAAAATTATACAAATATAAAAATATTTTTAATGTTAAGTACAATGACGCAAAAGGTAAATGTGATCCTTAAAAGAGGACGAATGAAATATTTAATATAAATTTATTAACTTTTATCTATCATGTATATCATATTCAATTATATATATTGGAATACTCTTAAGCAGTTTTAGTCAATTTTTTAAATTTTAAAAATAGTCTGTTTTTAATTTAAAAAACATATACTCCCTCTCTTGTATTCATTTATTTTTACGAGTTGACATTTGAATATTAATTATTATCAAAACGTATTACAAATCAAAGAAAAATGACAAAAATACTTCTATTAGTGTTTTATAATGCTAATATAATGACATTTCTAAAAAAAATTATATAAATATAAGAATATTTTTAATGTTGAATATAATGATGTAAATAGTAAATTGACACCTTGTTATGGGACGAGGGAGTAATAATTTTATATATAATTTTATTTTATAATTTCATTTAAAAGAATAAATTTAAATAATTTGTAGTTGATATTTTTATGATTATAAATGCTAATTACTCCCTCTGTACCATTCACCGTATCTATCTTTTAATTTTAATCTGTCTCGCTTATTTTGTCACTTTTTTTAAAAAAGAATTATATAGTTTAATCACATATTAAATTTTTAATTTTTTTAGTTTTAATTAGACTAATTAATTATTTTAATCTAAAATTATCTTTATTATACGATAATTATTTTTACTAATACATTTTTTATTATTTATTAATTATACTCCTCTTATATTCTCGTATTTAGAGTAAACGAAACACGATAATCGAAAGATAAGAAATATTATATTTAAATCACTTTTTACGTATTCATAAAATCTTCAATATGAAATTAAAACAAATCATTATCTACTCATTTGAAAATATATTAAAAGTAAACTTTAAAAACTAATTTTCTATTTTACTTTAGTGGTTATTCTTGTGTGCAATTAATTATATCTGATATTTTTTTGAATAATTATATTAAATAAACTGTTATATGATTATCATACAACATATGTTTACTTTATAATTAAGATTTTCAACTCATAATTTTAATTTTTCTATTTCTTATATAATGCAAAAAAAAATTTATATTGTTCGGCGAATTGATCATATTGATTTTTAAATTCTTTTAAGTTCTATATGTAATAATTGCATAAATTTATGTGAAAATCAATTTACAAAGATTGTATGTTTGCACTGCAAATATATCATTCATCTATATAGAAATACAATTTTCAATATAGATATTAAGGAGTTTTTTTTTTTTCTACAAAAAAATTTTAATATATTATTCAAAAAAAAATTAATATACTACATATAGTTATTATTTTTATATTATTTACATAATTTTCTATACTTTACATTTTTTTTTCAAACCAAAATACAAAAAATACACATTATATTAATTTGACAATAAAAAATCGTACAAATTTAAAGTTTTCGTACAAACAACTGATCATGCATGTTTTACATGTATAAATTTATATATATATATATATTATTATGTCCGTCCGACTCTAAGGATCTCATTTACTTTTTACGTGTTGATATTTAAATATTAATTATTATATTTAAACGTAGTACAAATTAAAAAAAAAAATTAAAAATATACTTCCGTTAATATCTTTTGTAATACTAATAAAAAGATATTTGTACAAAAAAATTGTACAAATATAAGAATATTTTTAATGTTTAAGTACAATGATGTAAAAGTTAAATGTGAGGCAGACGGATGAAGTATTTCATTATTAATTATTTTAACATGCTAATATCTCAATTGTTAATTACATGACAAAAAAAATGATACTAATATCTTCTTTAAATATACGACAGAATATGATACACATTAATACTGAAATTTATTGACATTTTTATAAATTGTGCTTATAAATTTACATATATATTATTACATAGGAAATTTTGTATTAATTGTTGATTGATCATAAAAATATTTGTATATTTCTATAAAATGTTTATCAATATAATCAATTATTTATTTTATATTATTTCAATAATTTATATAAATTGTGCAATGCACAAGAGACATGCTAGTTATATTCAATCAATGAACAATTCATTATCAAATACCTTGTTATCCCAAAAACACATGCATGTGTGACTTATAAGATTTTGGTTTTGGATTTTGATTTTGAATAGTAAAATGTGAATTAAAATAGTTGTATGATATGATATAGATATGTATTGATATGATATTTTGAATATAAAATTTAATTTTAATATAATATAATAAATAAAAAATAAATAGTAGATTCAATATTTTTGTTTTAAAAAATAATTAAAATAGTAAAATCGAAAATCAAATATCAAGAGGAAACACATCGTTTTTTTTTGGCAAAATCAATTCAATCCACGGGGGAATTAGATTTAATTTACACTATTCATTCAATTTTTTCTCTAAAAAAACATCAAATCAGACACCTAATTTTTATTTTTTATATTATACTAAAAATCAATTTTACATTCAAACCATAACATCAACACTTATTTATGTTTAAATTCAAAATTTTTACTATTCAAATCCCAACTCAAAATCCAAACCCCTTCAATTTTTGTCGTTCAAACTAAATATTTTTTATTTTTATTTTTATTTTTAATATTATACTAAATATTAATTTTATATACAAAATATCAAGTTGTCATGGCGATGCCTAATCGTCTTGGCGGTGTATCATCCCGGCCATAAAAGGTAGCCTCACCGAACAGCATCCGGGCGTCCCTTTGGCGACACCGTATCGCCATATATCGACAAGCCCAAGCTTAAGGCACTATATTCAACCTAATCTAATTCTTAAACCCATATTAGAGTTTAAATATATTCTAAATTCACCAAGCCCTAAATTCAACTTTATTTAAATCCAATCTTACCTCTGTTAGCTTAGTCCCACCCGATTATGTTGCCGCTGCCATCCGCCTCTGTCTTCCGTCCGGCTTCCATCGTTGGATAAGAACCTTAAGTTGTGGGTTTAATTTTGTTGTAGGGTAGTATATGATATATATATATATAATTTTTTTATTATTATTAATGAACTAGTGCTGGTGAGGAATTAGTGGAGAGGAGTTAGTGCAATATTTTATATTATTATTTTTTTCTAGTGCTGTGTGTTAGATTAGTTTCTAGTGCATAGTGTTATGTTAGTATATGATATATATATATATTTATATACATACAATTTTTTATTATATATTATGCAGAATTTAGTGGTTAGTACTTTATATTAATAATTATTCTTCTCTCGTGAAGAGTGTATATATTTAGTTCAGAATTTTTTATTAGGGTAAATTGCTTTTTTAGTCTCGTAATTGGACCCCTTATCACTTTAGTTTTGTAAGTGGAGCATGTCGCAAACTAGTCTCGTAAGTGAAAGATTTTCGCTGTTTTAGGCCTCCGGCGCCGGAGATGCCTGCGTGGCGAGGTGACGTGTCCATTTCTTTTATTTTATTTTTTTTGTATTTTTTTATTTTGTCTAATTAAAACAAAATTAAAAAAATAAAAAAAATGAAAAAATAAATAAATTCACGTGTCCGTCAGATGTCGCTGACCTGGCGAACACGTCACCTCCGGCGAGCCACGTGGGGGTCTCCGACACCGGAGGACTAAAACAGCGAAAATTTTTCACTTATAGGACTAGTTTGCGACAGACTCCACTTACGAGACTAAAATGATAAAGGGATCAAGTTATGGGATTAAAAAAATAGTTTAACTTTTTTATTATTATTCATGAACTATGCTAGTGAATATTACGTTGAAGCTATAGAATAACAAAGTGCGTGATTATATCTTTTACTCAATTACCAAACAATATATATAATGTATTGTTTCGTTGGTGTGTTATATATAATATTAATATATTAGTTGGATTGTACTGGTAGGCAACTATATATATGTATTGAATTTGTAGGCAATTATATATATATATAAATAAGTGTTTTATATAAAACTATTTTTTTGTGAATGGATTTTATAATTCTAATTTAACTTATTTCATTTTAATGATTTATTTTTAAGTAAGTTGGTTTTTGTATTAATTCTATTCATATTTTAATAATCGCCTTATTATTTATGCATTTTATTTTATATATATTTTTTTTTACTAATTCTAATTTAATGGTTAATAACGAAAATATTTAATATTTATCAAAGGATCCAGCAAGAAAGGCCAAATCATCTTATCGGGGATGGAAATATGGATTTTGGCCAGATTTAAATAACAAAGATTTAATTGAATGCGCTCTTTGTCATAGACAAATGCATTCTGGGGTCAAGAGGTTAAAACAACATTTAGTTGAGAGTTACGACGATGTGGTTAAATGCCCTAACACCACATAAGAAAATCGTAAGGAAATACATCAATTTATGAGCAAAAAAGTGATGAATAAAGCATTGCGGGGTACTACCGAATTTGATTATTACGAGGATACCGAAGACAATGAGGAGTTAGAAGAAAATCAATCTACAGGTGCTACGGATTCATCCTCCAAGTCTTTAGTGCATCCAAGTTCAGGAACAAGTAGCAAAAGAAAGATGGCTCAATCAACTTTAAAGTTTTCTGAATCTCAGAGTTGGAAAACAAAGTAAGTCAATTGTTGCAATGATTCGAAAGACTCCTGAAGAGATTGTTGAAGAAAGACATATAAGCGGTTATGTTCAAAAACCCATCGAAGCTTCTACAAAAAGAAAAGGGGAAACAAAAGAAGTGCAAAGGCGTATTGCCAACTTTTTCTATGAAAATGGCATTCCTTTCAATTCGTCCAAATCAAGAAGTTACGAGATTATGGTTGAGGCCATCGGACAATATGATCCCGGTTTGAGACCTACTAGTTATCATCAGTGCGGGAACCATTTCTTAAGGATTCCGTAAATGTAACAACTAAGTTGAAAAAAAGGCACATGGAAGCTTGGAAGCAATATGGGTGTTCCCTTATGTCAGATAGGTGGACAAACAAAAGAGGGCGACACTTGATAAACTTTCTTGTCAATAGTCCAGAGGAAACTTTTTTCTTAGAGTCTATTGATGCATCAGCTTAGTCACATGATGCAAGAATGTTGGCTGACCTGCTTGAAGAAAAGGTTGAAGAAATTGGCAAGGAGCATGTTGTGCAAATTGTGACGGATAATAGAGTAAATTATAAAACGGTGGGAAGATTATTAGAACAACGCATTCTTGGTCTTTTTTGGACACCCTGTGTAGCTCATTGCATCGATCTCATGCTATAAAACATTGAAAAAATGCATGAATTTAAACCCTACATTCAAAAGGCTAGGGATGTCACCACTTTTATTTATCGACATGGGAGAATTCTCAGTGCAATGAGGGAAAAGACCGGTGGTAGAGATCTAGCGAGGCCGGCGACTACACGACTTGCTACCATATTTCTCATTTTTCAGAGTTTAAACAAACATAAGAATGAATTGAGGCGGTTATTTGTGAGTGATGATTGAAGCGATAATAAACTTTCGAAAACGCCAAAAGGCAAAAAAGTGATGGAAACCATTATTTCATCGAAATTTTGGGATCAGGTAGAAAATTGTTTACGGGCAACACTTCCTCATATGATTGTTTTGAGGTTATTTGATGGTGATGAAAAACCAGCCATGCTTGAGCTTTCTTCGGCTATGAATCACACGAAGAAGAAAATAACTAAATCTTTTACAAGGAATAACAAAACAAGGTTGTTGGCCAAGTTGATGGAAATAATTGAGGATTGATGGAGCGATCAAATGGAGGTGAAGTTATATGTGGCTACACTATTCCTAAATCCTTCAAAATATTTTGAATTGAATAGGAGTGATCTCGTATTTGCTCGTAAGCAATGTCAGCTGTTTAATGATGTTCTAGAAAAGATGGTTAAAGGTGAAGAGTTGATGGATAAGATTAGTGGTCAAACATATGATTACGATAAAATGCAAGGAAACTTTGGCCGTCAATTGGCAATAAAACATCAAATGCAAAGAGTCCTCGTAAGTTTCTTTAACATATATATATATATATTTATTTTCTTTGAAATTTAATTTTAAATATTGAATATATTCCTTTTTATATATATTTTTTAGTTGATTGGCGGGATTCATATAGTGGTTATAATGAAGATGTTGATGTGTTTTTTCAATAATAAAAAAGTAAAATCCGAAAATAGGAAATTATCTTCGAATTTGGTATAATTAGTGCTTGAGATTAGGAATCTCTAAACACTGTACGGTACTTAAAGAAAATACTGGAAAAATAAATGCTATAGACTGAAAATTAAATGATGATCCCCAAATCACTGACTTTGTTGTCGTTTGAAGATGATTGAAGATGCCCTGCCAGTTGCAGATCCCAATCCTTAAATATTCTTTTGAAACAGTACCTGGAACCGTCGCCCGAACGGTTACAACGCGTTCTCTCAACCGTCTGCTAATTCTTCTTCTGCTGACACGTATTCTCAACCGTCTTGTTACCCGCGCAGCCCAACCGACCAAGCTACTCCTTTCACTCACTCTCCGAAGCGTCCGACCTCCACAACAACCGACTTGCTTATCCCACTGCGGATCAACCTGTAACACCCCTAGTTGGCTCAGACTGGAAATGCTACCGCCACACTGCATCATGAGGTCGTCACCTCCAACTTCGGGCCCCACAATACAGTGTTAAGGCTAAAATTACCATAAAAGCGCATTATTATATAACAGAATCTGATTTATAAATATTTACAAAACACACCTCTTAACAAGAGGTTTTTACGATTAAAAATTTACATATAATACAATAGACGTAAGTTCACTCACTCAGCCCATCTTTCTATATCTCGAGACGTCCCCTGTCTCGGATGTGCCATGCATACCTGAAACAAATATTTCCTTAAAAGCAATCCATAATTAAATCCATTTTAAGAACTAACGTGAAATATGTCATTTCACACCTTTTTAAAATAAAGTCTAATTCCCGTTAATCATAATATACGTGTCATGTCATGCCAATAGTGAAATGATGCAATACATATATCAAACTCGACAACAATGCACACCCATATATATATCCGCCAAAGTGAGCAGTCGGAATAACCTCGGCTCCATAATCATAGGGTCACTACATCTGTCTAAGTGAGCAGCCGGAATACCCTCGGCCCCGTAATAACAAGCTCACTAGACCATCATCAATAAATAGCCGGAAAATCCTCGGCTCAAGGAAGGACCTGATAAACCCATAATAATATAACGGTCATCCGGTCACTTCCATATACCCACCATACGACTCCCACAATCAATACATGGATAGCCGAACGTTGTCGCCATTAACCACAAGACGCCCCATAGTCCGTGATATTGAAGATAGGACCCCCAGACTAGCCCTATCCCGTGTAATGTAGTAGAATCCGTGCAACCTGGAATCACCCAAGGGAAACCCGAAAACTCTACTCCTCCTCGCGCGCCCTAACGGGATCACGTTTGGAGTTTGGCATATAATCCTAAACTACCGGTAGACCTCACTAGTGATCAGTCCAATGAGTGGAACAACACCGAACACGAATGATTAGAAAATACGTCTCAACTATAATGGGTATAATCCCTGAATGACCGTGCGACTAAGTCACCCAGTTGTCCGACTACTATCGTTCACTATCGCCAAAGTGTTACGGTACATCGGGCTCGAATATCCTAACCCCAAATGATGCCCTCGCCTAGCACTACCGCACACGGCGACTAAACGATAGATCCATAAAACATGTCCGATAAACCGTGCAACATGTGTGCAACATGCCAAATAAGTGAATTTACCGAAAAGGAATGGTGAGACAACTCACCTATCCTCCTTTTCATAAATTGACCAATGCGATCAAATACGTATATCAAATATCATAAACCGTGAAGTCTCCCACATGCATACGCACACATATATATAAATATATACCTGCATTAGCAAAATGATTCACATAATATCACGTTAACATATTCATCAGAATCGCATGCAACATGCATACCTAATTTCTTAAAATTAGATTTAATTCCCTACTGCTTACCTCTTATCGACACTCCCTAGCTTCCGAAATTTCACCCAAATCTTTTCCAACGTACACCTGCCCCATTATT